ATATAAACAAAAGGTTTTAAATTGAATTTAGAACTTGAACTAGGAATAAACAGATATTATAAAAAAGGAATAACCTTAAACGACCAACTAGAAGGTAACAATTCTCCTTTACTCAATATTAATTGCAACAAACTGTAAGAACTAACTAATTAACTAACTCCCCCACCTATCTAATTAATATAAATAGTCTTGGATCAATTGAGTTTGAAGATTCATCACCTGATGATGCCATTGTGCGGTAAAACGATATTGTTGTGAATTAATATAATTTTCTTGAAACTTTGTGTATTTTATTTTTAATTAAAACCATTTTAAACTCCAAATTTCATTTGATCTTTTTTTATTATCAGTTATTTTGCACATTTGTAGCCCTATTTAGGATATGGTAAAACATTCTAATTTATATCTATCTGTTTNAGTAATTTTACTAATCATTTTATTTACCTGTTACCTGTTCAATTTTCTTAGGGGAAACATCTTACGTTTTTGCTATTTATACTAGAATAGGTTTTCTTAATTAATTAAATACTTAATTAGAATAAAGTGATGTATTTACTCGATATTTTTAATGGCATTAGTGCTTATTTTTCTAAAAATATCGGTTTTAAAGTAAAAGTTTAACTTACATAATTTTAAGTTTTGGCATACCGATGTACACTCCACTATGCATCGCGGATGACTAACTAACTGAGCGAAGTGCTATTGTTATTATACGACAATAACGCGACAACCAATAGGAAATTAGGTCAAGTTGCACCTGTTTGGTTCAGGGAAGCCCTTTGGAATGCGGTGACGGCGGTGATTTGTGAGAGTTCATTCACCTTTATGGGCTACTTTTAATATCGAAACTTTAAAAAAAAAACATGATTTAGACATTTTTGCAGCGATTTTGATGCGGTTTTTACTAAAGGACTAGAAACTTAACGTAATTTATTAGAATTATCGAAAAGTTCTTGCAATCGACGAAGTTAAAATTAGAATTGAATGTATCTCCCTTAGGGAGTAAGGTTCGAAAACAATATGAGAATATGTGACAACCGAGACTTCGTCAACTTTAAACAAATCTAGGTCAGCAAACTGAAAAAAAAACTACAGTTTATTTTTATTCAATTTATTCGTCATGGAAACGTTGAAAATTCTTCATAATTTGCACATTAAAAGTGGAGATATTCTAATATTTCTATTTTATTCTGTAATGTCAAATATAAACAGAGTGATAACGATTTTTTTAATTATTTTAAAAGACAGATCACTATTCCCGCGTGACAAAGTTTTCGTCTATGTGAGGAGTGTTCCCTTATCAATTTTTTTTGTATGTTGAACCCTGGCTAATTACCGTTGTAATCTTCGATTAACCATTAGTGGGTTCATTCTTTCGTTTAGGATCCACGGTTTCCCAATTCTTATTTTCTTATTCTTTCCCTACTGCAAATCTACACCCTTTTTCTTGGCCCTTCTTTGCTTGTTCAAAGTGTGATAAGCTGAAGTTGATGATAAATATGATTTCACTGTCAATAGATATCTCTAATTGTATCCTTTCTAATTCCTAGTATAAGGAGATAAGTAGGCACAAGTCGAATTTCTTTTAGTTTCATAATTTTGTCATTTGTTTATTTTTTATGATATAAGTATGTTTGCTTAGTTTCATTAGAGATATACACATATATACCTATATACATATAAATACCTACTGCAGTTCTTTGTACGTTTTTCCAAGTAAAGGAATTTTTTTTTGGTTTAATTGGTTTGATTGTTAAATTATATTATAGTAATGTTTATGATTCTACAAACAACTGAAAAGTGAACGCTAAAGCTTTTGTCTCATTTGAACGTTATAGTTGAAAAATCAATCATTATTTAAATAACAATTACCTACTCTACTAATTTCAAGATTTAGATATGATTAAGTTAAGGGGTTTTTTGGCTTTTCATTAATTTCACATAAACCTAAACTTAAAGATAATAGAATTTACAAAGAAATCGGATAAACTGGAAAAGGTAACTTTTTAAATGGTTGTGGTCATTTCTAAAATAGTTAATTAAGACGCATCAGTTTGAAGAAAAAGTGACAGTTTTTTGGAAATTTAAATGTTATTTAAATATTGGTTTTTTCACCACTCCATGTTTAAGTATGTGTACGACATCATGCTATGAATTAAGTCATGGTAAATGTGTGCCTTTTGTTCATTAAAGTCAGTTGAAAATGCAAAAACATACGGGTACCTATGTAGGCTAGACTGAACTAGAACTATATTCTAAAACTAGCTTTTTTTGAACTTTCGTGTACATAGAATCATATGATAAATGCATGATTAAGATGATCTTTTTAACAAAGGCTTTGACGGCCGGAATCTATAGTAGAATGAAGATTCTGGCTATAGAGCTGTGGTCTAAGTGAACTATTCCGCCCAGTCGCTGTCGAGACATCGAGATATAATCTACGTTCACGTTGTCAACGCAGCACCACCACTGAGGATGTCAGCCGCAGTAGCTGACGAAACGTCTGGACGGAATAGTTCACTTAGACCACGGCCCTATAGCCCGAATCTTCATTCTACTATGATCTTTTTGTTTTATCCAAAGTACGAGATAAATTGATTATATTCGTGGAATTATAATCCCAGAAACTTTGGACATTTGACAACCCTGCCTTAGCTACTTACTGTGCCGACATTTTTTCTTCATTATTTGGGTTCATAATATACTCCTATAGGCGGTCGAATTTTCTTCCCAAATGATTTACTGTTTTCCACTAGTTTGTACAACTTATTGTTAATTCATTGAAACAATATTAACTTTCTGATGTACTCGGTAGGTACTTATGCAGGCAGATTATATCTCACCTACTTCTACCGTCATCTTTTTTGGTTGCTTTTATCAGCGATCTAAAAAAAAAAAACGCAGTTTATTAAGAAGAAACTGTGGCGTATTATCGCGAAAGCCTAAGAAACCCGCCTTTTGGGCACAAAGTTTTAAGAGGGCACAACACTCAAAAACATTTTGCTTATTATATTTTATATTTAGAAGATAAAATAAAATATAAATCTATTAGAAACAGTTCAGTTAAAAATTACTATCTACATACAGTAGCGGTGCAACATTTTAATGGGGGTAATTCGCAACTGAGGAGAAACTTGATGATATCAAGTGTAATGCATCAATAAAAGTATAGTATCAAATGAATTATGACTTCCTGCAATTATCGGAAACATGTGATATCCCACTGCTTACTGTTATCAGAGTTTTATGTTCTATATCTACAATACTTACCTTAAAGAAGTGCACGGAGAAAACTAAATTTTTATGACAACGCAAAAATTACAATTTTCGATTGTAAATGACTGAATATGACGTAGAAATAATAGAATTTATTAGGTAACTTGTAATAATCTGGATTTTGACATGTTTCTGTAAAAATTATTCCAAGTTTCTTAATTATTACAATTAATGGTTCAGTGTAGGCTCACAGCCGTTGTTGCGCTACAGCGACTACCACACCGTCTTCGAGAATGTTCACTGTAATTGTGGACGAAACGTCAGGAGTTAATCCAAATAGACCACGGCTATCAGCCCGAAAAACTCTCAAGATGGTATTACAATTAAATTTGTAATATCAACTAAAATACCTAGTAAATTTATTTCTGCTCGGATTTTACTTTTACAAAACTCTGGTCAAAATTGTAATTTTTGTTATTTTCGCTTACGAAGCAACAGGATAGTGGGATAAATAGTAAATATCGCTTTAATATTTAAGTAAGTTCAGTGATTGATTTTTCATATGCGTGTTTTCAATGGTATTCTGCATTTAATGTTTTATTTTATTTTTTTGATATTTTTATTTAATAAATATCAATAAAACATTTTGACTTTGGTTTCATCGAGTAATGGTCAAGACTGTATAATATTGTTTTTATTGAAAAATTATCAATCTATAACAGTCATGGTTTACTTTAAGTAAAATGAAAGTAGAATAACAAAATGTATTTGACAAACTGTACAGAAAATATTTACAAAAGTCATTTTTGCAGTAGGGCGCTTTGGTGTGTTTACCACCAACCACCTCCACCGCCGCCGCCACCTCCTTGCCATCCACCGCCGCCACCACCTCCTTGCCATCCACCGCCGCCACCGCCTCCGTGTCCACCGCCACCTCCACCTCCTCCGCTGAGTTTGATGATTTTGATTACTGGGGCGCCACCACCGCCGCCACCTCCACCTGAAAAACATAATAACAACATTTTATGTTTCATTTGACAAAATCAGTTACCTCGCACAATTAAAAAGTAACAAAGGAGTCGTAGAATAATAAATAATCGATGAATACTTTCCATGTTACTAGCTTGAAGAAGTTTTAAATTCACTCTTTTTAGTCAATTTTATTTTCAAATCCAGATATACGGTAATGCAGAAATCATGTTTAAAATAAATAGGACGACGTACTATCCATTTGTTATAGAGGTTGTTTAGAATCTCATGAACCTTGGGTTGTGTAGTGACAAAATTCTGATTGTTCATTGATTTCTACCACTAGAAAGCATTGATCGTCGATGATTCTTTAGAGTTCCATCCCACTATGGATAATTATCGATATATCGATAACAATATTAGCAACTGATAACTATCGATATATCGACAACTATCGATATATTCGATAATAATCGATACATTGATAACAATAAGTAACTGATAACTATCGATATATGTATATGCAGGTATTATACATCACTTTTAATTCATAGTAAACATTTTTTCTAAATAAATAGGTACCTATACCATAAGTGTACAGGTAACTGTTTACTTTTTTACTTATTTTTTCTTAAAAATATTTAAAAAGATCCATAATTACCAATATATCAACATTAAGGTGTTTCAGAGTATTTTGCTTTTTTCGAAGAACATTGAGAAAATGATAGAGTATCCTTGGACTTAGATTATGTTAAAATATGAATCTTAATATTAATATTTACAAGTGGGATTTTGCAATTTTCTATTTCCCATTTAAACAACAGGAATTTAAATTTTTTAATTTTGGAATTTTATAACTCGACAACAAATAGTTATCGATATGTCGATATATCGGTAGTTATCGGTTGCTATTATTGTTATCGATATATCGATTTCTATACTTCATAAAATGTGAATTAAAGATTAACTCCGTTTTTTTCAAAAGTGTTTGCTTACCGCCTCCTTGCCAACCTCCTCCGCCACCTCCTTGCCATCCGCCACCTCCACCACCTCCTTGCCATCCTCCACCTCCGCCGCCTCCTTGCCATCCTCCTCCGCCACCGCCGCCCCCACTGGGTACGAGGATTTTAATAATTTTTATTACTTGTCCCCCGCCTCCTCCTCCTCCGCCACCCCCTCCATATCCTCCACCGCCACCTCCGGCCCATCCGCCTCCTCCTCCTCCCCCACCTGACCATCCGCTAATGCCAGCTGCAAAGAAAAATTAAAATAAAGTAAAAAAAATTACTTAATACCCACAACAGGTAAGAATATAAATAAATAACAGTGATTAGGAAGTTAAGCGATTTTGAATACTTGTAACTGCTAGGGTATATATACATAGGTAGTAAAACAATTATTGTATGTAGGTGTACGATTTTTATCTTGATTTGAATTCGAATGGTTTATTTTCCTTATTTTATAATAAATACCAAAAAAGTGTACCAGAAATTTCGAAAATTACGTATTAAAATAGTGGTATCCTAATCATATCTCATATTATAAATGCAACAATGTTTAGTTTGTTTGTTATCATTTCACGCCTTAACTACTCAATCGATCATAATGAAAGTTTTTACACACATTGTGAAGGGTACAGAAAAAGACATAGGGTACCTTTTATTCAGAAAAAAATGTTTTAGAGGGATAGAAAAAATTCTTTTCAACTCGATAAAGGAGGACAGTATTTACTGTCATTTTAGGCAAATTGTATATATGTTAAGAACAAACTTTTCAAATTATTGTATTTTCGAGAATCTTTGACACGTATTGAGGACATCAGCACCAACGAAGCCGCGGGTAAAACCTAGTAAATCTATAAACAGGTATTACTTTTATTACATAAAATTGTGTTTATGGATCATAAAAAAATAAAAATAACAAAAAACAATAGACAAAATAGTCTATTTGCTAATAGAAGACAGACAATTTATCTATCGAGTTTTATCCAAATTGGTAGTAATTAACGTCCGAACCGTACATCTAATCCAACTTTCAATGATAGAAATGAGATTCATTTTGGAAGTTATCAAATTAAGATCCCGTAGTGCGTGTGTATTTTGACATGTAATCCTCTATTGCCTCATTGTATATATGTAAGAGGAAAAGGTCATCTCATTAACGAACATAAAGGAAAGTGAAAGGTTCTGAAGCGCAATAAGCAATTTTTTTTCTCATTGAAAATAAGTAACTTCATAGGTATCTGAAATGTGGCATCATGAAACAGAATGGACATAGCGGAGAAGAACGGCAGAGAAAGTTTAATATTTACTTTCTGTCAATCGCAAGGATAAATTTCGATTTTTGACTAAGGTTATAAATGCAAAGGAAATATTTCTAAACGTTTTCAAAATTTTAATAAATTCCTAATACAGGAAATATGTATTTTAATTATACTTGAAGAATAAATGCTATAAATACAGGATCTGAATTTTTGAAATCTTGATTAAGATTATGTTTATCAGTAAAAACCTACTTCTCCTACATCTCCACGTTTCATCTAAATAATTAATTAATAATTTATTAAACTTGTTGCTTTTAGAAACAAGAATTTAAACCACTTTTCGACTGCAATCAAATTAGATAGTATTTATAAAATATATCGGAATTTAATGATTCTCATTTAAAAATTTGCAAACGAAATCTAGTTTTTTTTTTCATTAAGGTAAAAACCGCAGAAATGAGTCATTAACATAAAAATACAATAAAATGTAAATTTAAGTGAAAATGATAAGGCGATAGGTTTCTAAATATTCACCATCTGCTATATTATTTTTGAGAAACAAATATGCATAAGATATTTGGACTTTTTTATGCCCATGGTTTTATAGTGACTATTGCCTATCTAAAACATACAGTCAAAGAACGAAAAGCCTATTCCAATGTAACATTATGTATGATGCTTGTTGAAAAATGAAACAGTGAAAATTTATTTAAAAATATTAAAATTATTATTAAGATCTTACCATTGACGAATGCGGCGATAGATACCACCAGCAGACACACAAACACCTGAAAAAAATATTAATTTCGTTTAAGCGTTATGTACATGTTAAATTACACCGAGAAAAAGTAAACTAAAAGTACTTTCACGTGACGTTATTGCACATCAACACATTGCAAATATATAAATAAATAAATAAATAGGTAAGTATTAATTATATAATACAATACCTTCATGGTTAATCCAGAAAAGGTGACTGATGGCAGATTGTTTTCGTCTTCTTTTATATCTCAATGTTTGACCATAGTGGCCCCCCTTTCTTTGAAAATTTTGATTCCCCTCTCAATGTACCATCTTCATATTCACCTTTTCTCTTGCAGAATTAATGTAAAATTGACTTGCCGTTTATTTCTTTGAAAGTGGTCATATTATCTAATTCTGATCACAACAAATTCCGTATATTATTTAACTGCTTGTACGTATTCCAAAGACGTGAATTTCATGAAAACGTTCCTTTAAATGCTACATGAAATGCAAATGCAGAATAAACAATTGCACATTAAAGCAACTTATACAGTGGATGTGTCGAGCAGATTTCAATTGTTATTGCACAATTACTGATTACAGACGAGCTCTAGTCGCAATTATGATAATACCTAAAGCAATGTTTTGATTGAACCTACATAAACACAAAACCGATAAAACTATTTCTGCATCTATACTTATTTTATTGGAATGTTACATGACTAGTGAATTCGGAGTTTATTCGCTCATTGCATAAAATCAATTAACATTTTTAATTGCGGAATTCTGACCAACGGGTTTAAATTATGTCTCTTGTAATATCACGCCTGTATATATGTCGAAAAATCTGTCTTAAAAGTATTTGCGTTACGTTTCTGATTTTGTAGTATTATTTAGATACTTCGCATTTCTTTAAACTAAACTATTAATTAGTGATTTTATAAATATATTACTTATGTTGTAGGATTAATGAAAAGAAGAAGTAGATAAGACGAAAACCTGGAGGTGCTGTGTAAAACTTTTCCCCATGGAATTTCTTTGCATAGTCACATTTGGGACATGACGCTGAACACTAAAAATAGTTTACCCCTACCCAGAGATAATCAAGATCAAACAACTGTAAAATTGTTTTGTTTTTTTTTAACTAATCAACGTGTTTTTATATTTAAAAAAGGTCTGTTATAAATTATCACTAAAGCTAGTAATTTCCCAGTTATAAGTAAAATCAGAGAGAATCCAACACTACCCAGTCGTACGGAGGGTTGGATGTCGTTTGAAGATCTCCCATCTTCTACGAAAACAAAAAAAAAAAGATAGTGTTGATGTGTCAACGAAATTGCGCCGTAAATAACAAAAAGACATCAAAAGTCGTGTAACAGTGATAAACTGATAAAAGAGCATAAACTATTAATCTGTTGAACAATTTAAAGAAAACAATGGACCTGCGATTTATTCGCAAGGGTGCGTTTCTCGGCAAATAAATAAATTAGCGCCTACGGTGGAAAACTGCTACTGAAGAGAGCCTTGCCTATCTAGTTAAGTGGGAAGTGGGATCTAATTCTTTTTTGCACTATTCAAGGCAGTGTTTACATTTTTCGTAGAGCTTTTTAGTCCCTTCACCTCATTATGCAGAGTTAAGCAACGATTAAACAAATTAATAGTTAACGAAAATTTTAGTCAAGGCTGAATTAAAATCGAATGATACAAGATATAATAACATAACATTCTTAAGTGACCGTCGCTCATTCATGTCTTAAGCAAATACTCTTAAAATTAATTATTTGCAATTGCAAGTGAACATACACCATATAGCACTTAAATTATGGGTGACCTACCTCCTTAGATCATCTTTTTTACTCTTCGCGGATATGCTAAACTAAAGTAAATGTAATTTCAATTGAATGTCCTAGACTGCTAGAACATGTCTCAGTTCAGCCGCAAACCTGGTGCTACAGTCAAATTTTGGGCAATATAAAATGTATAAAAGATTCTAAAGTAATTTAGAATAGGTCATGGTTAGGTTTGGTACGTTGGTTTTCTTTTTACTTAAGTATAAAATATACTTTAAGAAAACCTTGCAGGCATTTGCTTATTTTTTTAAATATTAGAATTTTTCTAGACTATATTACTAGCTGCGAAGATTAAGTAAGATTCATATTTTTCTATTTGAAGTGGTTGAGATGTAGTTTTTCTATCTTTATGTTATAGTTTCTTCAGTTCAGCAACAAATAATTCTTCTATATGTTTCCTTATTACCCTTTGTCGCCCGGTGTAATTGAAAAAAAAGACATTGATGCCAAAATAGTTTGCTTACTGTGAAAGATCAGAGCCAAAATAGGATTCCAAATAATTTTATTGATGTAAAATCTACATCGATCATTTTATATCAAAATATTTACAACCCCATTTTGTTTCTGATCTTTTACACATTGTAATAAGAGAAAGAAATGGAATCCATAGTTTCTTTAGCTTTGGGTTCATCTAATAAGTGAAGTTTTTCGAATCGTTTTCTAATAATTTTGGATTATAGGCATTTATTAGTACACCACAATATCTTGTAGTTTTCAATTTTACACAGCTGGCGTATATCAATTAGATATTGTTTTGCGGGCTGTTTTGTCGTAGTTCATTGAATTTCGTAGTTTCTTGCTAAAGGTACGATAAGTGGTACTGCCATCAATTTGAACTTTAAAATTCCATGGACCATCACATTGAACTCGGCAAACAATATCGATCCAATATTATAGATTATCCATTTCTAAGGAGTTTAGAATTTTTTGGGCTGTCTTCAGTTAAATAATTAGAATACATTCCTGGAATGTCTCTTTGTCCCTTTTTTAAGCTTCTAATATCTCCAATAGCTAATGTGAGAAACTTTAATTCATCACTTTATATAATGTTTGATCGGTGATATTAGTAAAACTTTTAACGGCAAAAATGTATTTTGCATTTTACATATAGAAAATACGGTTGGAAAAATAATTTAAATAAAATACAAAATGCTTTTCTCAAAAAAGTATTTAAGTAAATACAAGATAAAAATTGGATTATTTTTTATTTTGTATTTGTATTTTAAACACAAGTATTTCAAATAAGTCATATCCCTGGTGTAGTACAGGTACAGAGAAGTCTGCAACCGTCCGCCCTTTCCAACCGTGGGTCCTTTCGTCTAGCTCTAGAAAATGCCAATAGAATGTTAAAAAAAGTCTGGATTATCAATTGTCGGTATTTTAGACTGTCGGAATTATAGGGTGAACCCATCCCAAGTATGTATGCCTTTTATTGATTCGAATAATAATTGTAGTGTAGGTATCGTATAATATGATGATGATGTTAGTGCATGATAAGTAATAATAAAAAAGATGCACGTCAGAAAGCAAAATTAAATTTCTTTCAAAAATATTTCAAATCAGTGATGATTTTGGATCATTTTGAATTAAGAAGGTTCAAAAAATGTTTGTTAAATCAATTCTCAGTAAATAATAGACAGATTTTAATTAGATTTCCACTATCTTATCGGCTACAGAGTATTCTTGAGGGACAGTGTTGATAAGTGTAAAAGAAGTAACTGATGTAACACTAACACGTGTGTTATAAGGATATCAAATAAATAGGGAATTTAACAAATTATTTATGTATACCTATGGTAGCTAGTAACCTCGTGTTGAGAATTCGTTATAACATATAAAATATAATAATAATAAGGGCGTAATCAGAAGTTTATTTTGGAGACAGAACCATAGAAAAGTCAATTTCTTTAAAGTTAGCATACGAAAATATAAACCATCGGATAATTAGCTGCAGATTAGTCGCAAACTAGCCGTGAAAGCCAAACCCGAGAACCAGCTTCAAATCAAGTTAGCATGCAAAAATTGTAAAATCGGCTACGAAATTTTTAGACAGCGGGCACCGGGCTGTTAATTGGCCGTTAATTAACCGCTGATGATGTACACAGAGAGAAGTATCTTGGTGGAAAAATTATCCTATTATTATTATTCCTATGATTCTACTAAAGTTTATAAGGTTTCTTACAAAAATTATTGGACTAATATTGAATTTTGCAGTGTGTTTCTTGCATCCATTTTTTAGTGACGGGCATGGTAATTTTTGTAATATTTTTCCCTCCGTGTAGAGTACAAATCAGGGAGTTCGATTTGTTTTTACAAAATAGCTTTAGTGTTCCGTGCAGGGGTACAAGGGTTATACGATATACTACGTTGCTTGTCCAAGTTAAAATATCCAAAATTCTGCGAAAAGCAATCATTCCGTAACCATAAACGAATATCTATTGACACTCAAAAAGTCTTTGAAATAATATTTTCCAGAAGAGTCGCACAGTCACAGGATAAGCAGTGATTGTGAGTACAGAATCCATTCGCAAATCTAACTAAATCAACAATGTTAACTATATCGGAGTATGAGAACTTGATCGATATTAAGAATTTATCCTCCTTAAAACAAAAATTCGAATTAGCTGATTCACATTTTAATGACCTTTGGATCACACTTAAGGATGAATACTTTGGAATCGTTAAGAAAGTTATTATGGTTCCTATTTCTGTTTATATCGACTTCTGATTACAGACGATCTTTCCAGTTTACGCTTACACTAAAAACAAATTCAAAATTAGACTGGATACCACTTCCGACATTCCAATTGAATTGTCGGATACTAAATCAAGTTTTAGGCCATTATAAGAAAAAATATATACGTGCAATAAAGATTTTGTCGAGATGGGGTTCCGTCAAAAAAGGGTGGTTCAGAAAGGGTCCCGTAGCAAAACAGAATTGGGAACCGCTGCCCTAGAAAATTTCATCGGTGCTAATTTAAGATTACAGAAATTAGGTATTTTTGAATTTCTTTGACCAGACCGAAAGTGAAATTTAGATACTGCGATTTCCTTTTTAAGGTGACAGACAGAATGATTTGTATTGCCTTACATAAATTATAGCGGGTCTTACAAGGTCTTAAGTCGGCAACTTGTGCCGTTGGCAAGCAGGCTTTCGAAACGAATTAGCGAAAGCTTTTTTTTTCTATTATTATTCTCAATTGTTGTTATATTTATACTCATCAAATATTCTGCGTGTTATCGGTAGCATAATAACTTAAGTCGTACTTTTAAGCGAAATTTTGCCAAATTGTTACAACTTTCACAGGAAAAAATGGGTGTTGTAACACTAGATAGACGTCATTTTTATATTACTATTACCTATTTATTAATGGTTTTTGTATGCTAATTTATTTGATTGTGAATATTTAAATTCAATCTTAACGCACTAAAACACACAGGCATTAAAAAATACATAGGAGTAGAATTTTGTAATGTTTCCAAATTGATTATTCTAAACATTGTCCTTAAAGGTTCATTGAAAGGCGAGAGATTTTAAAAATAGAAATTTTTGCAAAGGTGGAGGTCTGTAACTTATGAGTTTAAAAGTTCCGTTCAAGTACAAATGATGAAAGTGATAACATGTCAGTAAACTTAGACCACACCTAAAAATCACTACTTCTAGTGTTTCACATGGGGCGAGTCGAATTGTAATTAGGCACTTACGAGAAGATGATGAAAACATTAAGTAAAAGAAAAACAAAA